GCAATCTGTAAAAAAAATCATAACAAAATCCGGAGGCCGCGCGTTAAAATAGGGTCCAGGCCGCGAAGCCGCAAACCTATAATAGACCCCCCTTAGTGTCTTACTTCTTGCGATGTGTTGAAACACTTTGGTCTTACCACTCTCATTCTGTTCACAATGTTTGCTACTTCTGTTTATCATTTCATTTTTGTGTTTACGACATACTAAAAGCTTTTTCGTCTGACACTCCTCTGAGCATAAAACGTCCGAAAAAGGTTCCGATGCGTTTCTACGTTACACGATGGAAAATATATACCCAGTTGTGGATCGAAATAGGCCAATCAGAAAAACGCAAGCACAAGACCGGTATAGTTGACCAATCAGTGCCGCGAGTCTAAAGAAAAATTACCAATGGCGTCCAAGAGAGAAAACGAACTCCTTCTGTCTACACAATGGCGGCTTTTTCGTTTTTATGTAGATCGACTCCAAAAGTGCTAGATGGAAGGACGACCGGGCTCTGCCAATTATCCGAAACATGTCGTCATTATAGAGTTTTGCACAATCTGGTTTGTCTAAAAGATGTTGACCGATGGCAGAATCATTTGTTTTAACAGTGTTTCTAGACCTACAAGATCGAGGAGGCTGTTCTTTTTGAGGGGCAGTTTTGTTTCTTATGTTGGAAGGAACATGTTGTTTTATCCTATCCCCCAATCTTTGGGTTGTGCGTCCTACGTAGCTAGAATCACACTGGCACGTAAATTCATAAATGACGGAACTTTTTTGTTTGGTAGGAACGCAATCCTTTTGAATGGATGGAAGGGCTCTCCTAGTGCTGTAAACAATCCGAGGATTGACAACAAAGAAACATTTGGTTATGGCTTGCCTAATCTGACTCTCGAATCGCAAGGAAGTGTTACCAATCTATGGTAGTTTCAAATAAACTGGGTACTTTTGCGGACCAAACTTTTGAATAGCCGAAAAACTTGCAATCTTCTCCTTAGTATAAGATAAAATTACGTCTTCTGGATAGCCGTTGTCCAGGACGATCGTTTTGAGTTTTTCCAGTTCAGCGTGCAGTTTAGATTTCGAGCAGATCATAATATACTAATGTTTTGACAAGATTGACTTTGCGTTGTTTTGGGCAAAATGAATTCCAGCGTATGTACTGACCGGTAAGTAGGCTTGCGATATGCACTGGTAAGAAATCCAGTGTTATACTGTTCGACCAAAACATATAAAAATGGCAAGGAACCATTTTCTTCCTTTTCAAACGTAAACTGGAGGGCTGGGTGTAGGCTATTAAGGTGTTTTAGAAAAATATCACACTCAGCCTCTGTTTTGAAAATGGTATATGTGTCATCCACATACCGAAAATAGACACCTGGCTTTTGGTCGTAGTCGAACAAACGCTCTTCATGAAAGCCAACAAAGATATTGGCCAAGGCAGGTCCTAGAGGGCTACCCATAGCGACACCATCCTTTTGTTGGTATATTTCATTGTTA